AGGGATTATCGTAACGCTACCTGGATTATTGTATGCTGTTCCTGTCTACCAGTGGAAATACTATGGATTATACTACCTCTCCGCTACAGTTACCAGAAAAACTACAGCTTATTGAATTTGTTCTGGTGAGTATAATCATTCCCTTCAGGCTTTTTGCAGAAATTTTTTTTCAGAGAAAATGCAGTGTTTACATTACAGCCTAGTGATAACTCCACTGGCCACTCCTCAGATGGCTGCTAGAGGTGCTTCCTGGGGCAGCGCTGCACAGTGTGACTGACATTCAGTGTCTCCACCCTCTGCATGCAGACACAGAACTTTCCTCTCAGAGATGCATTGATCCTATGAAGAGATGCTGATTGGACAGGGCTGTGTTTGACTTGTGCTGGCTCTGCCCCTGATCTGCCTCCTTGACAAGCTCAGCCAATCCAATTCATTCATATGAAAAAGCATTGTGATTGGTTTAGTTCAACACTTCTGATGATGTCAGCCAAGCAGGCAGATCAAGAGCAGAGCCAGCAGCATCATCAAACTAGAATAAAGGGAAGATTTTACTATATTTAGGGGGGAAAGGTGGTCCAGGGGATATATGGTGTTTTTAACACTATAGGGTCAGGAATACATATTTGTTTTCCTTTAATTGTTTGTATTGGTATTCCAGTCTTGATTCATTCACAGAGTTAAAACAAAGCGTGTAGAAATACCTCATACTGATGGGCAGCACTTTTAATTACTGTCTCACAATATTCAATACACATTTTGTAAAAAGAAGAAGAAAAAAAAAAGGGTGAACTTTCAACCCATTATTTTTGTCAATGTGTAGAAGCATTTATTGTTGTAGCTGATATGCTGTGTGCAATTATCAATTTTTTTACTTGAATTTTCTAAAATTGTTTTCACAAGTGTTAAAGACAGGATGTTTCAATGTGCAGATAGTAACATTAAAATTGAGAATCACACGATTTGCACTATATCTAGCTCAGTTATGCACATATTGCAATGTACTCTTTCAGAGTCTTGAAAAAGTGGTCTAACACAACACTCAGTATTTAGGTCAAAACCCCCTAAAACACAAAGTGCAACAATAGAGATAAAATATGCAACATATAAAAACTGGGACTTACCCCTCAAATTGTGGGGTGAAGATAACATTTTGCATGTAGTGTTAGATTGTAACAAAACAGTGAATATAATTGTAAAGGTGAGTGGAAATAAACTCACATGATTAAAAAAATATTTATATCTAAACGTTGTCGCTTGTGTGCTTTAAGGTGGCATCCACACCCCTCTTCTGCTGGATATTTAGGTCAACAGCTCCCCATATGGTATATTAAACAAAATAAAGTAGAGAATATCTCCTAAGTGCAGTATGTTTGCATACAGTGATAAGTAAGATACCCTTTTGTGAACTGGCTCCAAGTTGTGATGCCTAAGTGTCTCTTTGTAGGGTGACACTTCCCTTTTCGGAACCCGGTAGAGGGATCAGGATACTATAGTGCAAAATATACCTTTTATTGGTTAAACACATAATAATTGAATAAAAATGTCAAAAATAAAGACTAAAAATAAAATGAGATAAAATAGTTATAATGCTCATTGTCCTTGTGTCCTCCTTTCAGTGTCTTGATAAGTACATTTTAAACCTTACACGGCTATACAATGATGTCTTTACATTCACGTTCCAATCAGGTGATTTTTCAGAACACCACATCAAATCAAACGAACAAACAAATATGGGGTAGAACTTGGAGGGGGAAGGCTAGGAGGAAGCTGTAAGGGGGGTTTGAGGTGGGGAATTAGGGTGATTCCCTAATTGTACCCCTGTTCACTTAGGTGACTCCATGCGTTTTGCAAGAAAGTCATGCTACATTTAACATGCCTCTCTAGTCGCTGTACCCATCTGTAACTGGTCGCATACCTTTATTTCATATTTGCAGTTTGGTAAAATTTGAGAAATTATTTCTAATTTCCCCGGGGAGACGCTATTCGATTTCGATTTTTTTTAGCTTCAGAGACAATTGTAGAGATTAAAATTTGAAATGTAATTTACAGTGTAGGTTTTGGGAGGTGTTCTGGTAGCACGATTGCAGGCTCCATATAAAACCCCATGCCTGATCCCTTGATCAACGTGGCCACTATCATCTAGAAAAATAATGCCAGTAAAGGGTGGGATGTCTGGCCTCTGGCAATGAGGCACTACCCACTCCTCAGCAGTTCTGCCAGCTGGAGCAGCACGTCTCCTTCTGGCAGGAGGACTAGCAGGCAAAGATACAACATAACTAGATACATCACTAATAGCAGACACTGTATCTAGTGATGATGCCCCTGGCAGGGTCAAAACCAGGGTCGGAGTCTGACATAGACGCATCACACTCTAGCGGAAGGGTGGCATATGCCTGCTCAGCGCTGGTTGACTTCCGTGACCCACGTGACATGATCACAATCACTTTACTTAGTGATCTGTCATACAAATTATTATTTTTTTTTAAATGAACCCCTAAAAAAAAAATGAACAGACAGCAAAATAAGTGATGCTGTGCCAGAGCCTGTGATCTGTATAGTGATCACTGGCAAGATAGGGATTAATGGCTCTGAAAAGAGTCTTTGGGTCTCAAGATTTTACAAATCCCTACCTAAAAATACCTAAATCTCTAAACACTTGGAATAAAAATTGCTAATGGGGCAAGTTGTAATTGGATGACCCTAGCCTGCCCCTATGATGAGGCAGGCTAGGGACACCCCCAGGAGCCCCATGATTCACTGCCTTTAGAAATGCCTTTAGAGCATCACTGCAATACTATCAGAGCTTCCAGTGCTCAAAATAGCTGCAGACGTATCAGGTACGTCCAAGGTCATTATGGACCATTTTTTGCCAGACGTACCTGATACTTCCGCAGTCGGGAAGGGGTTAAACATGTTTTTTCAAACACAGTGAGACCTGTCTTGGCTGTTTGTGCCCTTATGCCCCTACTTGCTGTAGTAAAGATAGCCTTGATTTTCAAATAGGACAATAGTAAATTTGGTGGCAGGTCAAAAAGGTTCCGTAAGTCTGGGAAGTTCAGCACTGTCCCTTGATGGGACAGTTGGTTGACATGTGTAACCCCATACTGTGCACACTGTGTGTAATTGAAAGTTGGGTTATGCAACTGAATTGAGCGTGGTGCAGTCCCCAACGACCTTGGCATGTGTCTGCAGAATTTGTGACATGTTTGATCCCAAGTTCGGAGCATTAGTTGTGTAGTGGACAGTAATTAAGTATTTAATGGCCCATGAGAATTTTACGGTCTCCAGTACTGTGTACAATACTCCAAGTGAGGTCTCACCAGTGTTCTGTACAATGGCATGAGCACTTCCCTCTTTCTACTGCTAATACCTCTCCCTATATAACCAAGCATTCTGCTAGCATTTCCTGCTGCTCTATTACATTGTCTGCCTACCTTTAAGTCATCAGAAATAATCACCCCTAAATCCCTTTCCTCATATGTTGAGGTTAGGACTCTATCAAATATTCTGTACTCTGCCCTTGGGTTTTTACGTCCAAGATGCATTATCTTGCACTTATCCACATTAAATGTCAGTTGCCACAATTCTGACCATTTTTCTAGTTTACCTAAAGTATTTGCCATTTGGTTTATCCCTCCTGGAACATCAACCCTCTTACATATCTTAGTATCATCAGCAAAAAGACATACCTTACCATCAAGACCATCTGCAATATCACTAATAAAAATATTAAAGAGAATGGGTCCAAGTACAGATCCCTGAGGTATCCCACTGGTGACATGTCCAAGCTTCGAGTATATTCCATTAACTACAACCCTCTGTTGCCTGTCACTCAGCCACTGCCTTAACCATTCAACAATATTGGAATCCAAACTTAAAGATTGCAGTTTATTGATAAGCCTTCTATGTGCAACAGTGTCAAAAGTCTTACTGAAATCTAGGTAAGCAATGTCTACTGCACCACCCTGATCTATAATTTTAGTTACCCAATCAAAAAAAATCAATAAGATTAGTTTGGCATGATCTCCCTAAAGTAAACCCATGTTGTCTCTGAAAAGGATTCAGAACTTGGATGGGCTAAAGCTCCAAAAATACACTTTTTTCAAAGATGTACGGTACCCCAAACTACAGCCCTGTTAGATTCAATAGCAAGCTGGATTCGGATTGCACAGGGCCCTAGGAAGATGCCAGACTGGGCTCCTTTTCAAGATCTAGGTGCACAGTTTCTGTCAGTGTTGTGTGTCTAAGGGTATGTATATGACTGAGTGTGTGTATGTGTGATGTATGCTGGGGGAAGCATGTGTCGTAAGTGTAGGTAAATCTGAGGGTAACTGAGTGTTGCATGTTTGTCCTGTGGACGATGAGCCGAATCTCTAGTGGGGTAGCACAATGATTTGCACAATGATCAGAGCACCGGGGACCACAAAGAGTTTTTAAAGTGGTCTGCACCCAGTAAAGGTGAAAGCCACAACACTCCACCAACAAAGTGAGTGGACACAGTGCCGAGCATGGAGATATCTGTCTGAGCCTGGCCACTAGGTGATTGGGTAGGACACCTAATGGATAATCCATCCCTGGTTCAATACATTTCTGAAACCTTTTTAATGCCCAAATTAGATTGTAGGTTTTGTTCATGAAGTGATTACCGAATGGTACTGCAAAAGAAAATGTATGAATTTCAGGATCTTACTAAGACTGGAAATGGAAATTCTGAATAGCTTCAATGCCAGATGTACGGATTCAATTGCAACTGACATCTAACAAAAATAAAAAGATTTGCTCTTTGGAAACAAAAAAAATAATCATTGCATTCTATTCTTTGTTTCTTCAATGCCATCATTAATTTCTTAATATAACTACATTAGATGAGTTTACGTGCAGAGGATTTGATACGTCTCATTCAAGGTCCAGAGAGAAGAAAAGTTTTCAAATTCTCATTAAGTGAATTTTTGTATGCACATGTGTTGAGTGAAGATGAAACGTGTTAAGCCTGTGAACTTATGCCTGATCTTTTTCCCTCAGATTTCCCCCTCCCAACAGGCTTTCTCCGTCCTTGGACTCTCTCCATTCTGTTCTGGTATCTAGAAGCTGTCTGCCTATCATCAGGTGTTGTCCTTCAGGATAACTATAAAGATTGGGCCAGTGTGGCGTGTACAGCCTCTCCAATCAGGAGGCCGGGCTTCATCTCCTGTCCCACCATGCTTCCTGCCACTTTCAAACTGTGTTGTGGAATATCTCACCAGCATCTTAGGAAACTCACTGGTACCGTATATCCAATGCTCACTTACTGCAAAATTCTAGAAGTCATTGAGATTTATGTAGTTTTGTCAGCGTGTTTTTTTTTTTGTTAGACTTTCTTTTTATGTTTTGCTGTGTTTTGGATTTTGTATATCAAATTTTGGCACGTAGTTGCAAATGTAGAGAAATATGAGATTTTGTGTTGCTCTACAAATTATGTCAATTTTTTTTTTCTTGCTTAGAGAGCAAGACTTTGGTTGAGTGGATCTCCTTATCTTTCACTTCTATTAATAAGTAAAGTGAAAAGACATGACAATATTTTATATTAAGAGTGCATACAATGTGCATGGTGACATATTTTGTACAGTTGTATTATATTATATCTATATTATGGTATCAGCAATGTGTTCGTGCATTATACATATATAGATATAGATTGTTGCCAATATTGTGGGTAACTAGAGTTGTTGTGTATTATTATTATTATTATTATTATTATTTATAAAGCACCAACAAATTCTGCAGCGCTGTACAATTTATTGCTATTTAAACAAGTGCATCTTTCTTAGGTTTATGTCTAATTACAAGGGTGCATTGTCGCTGGTATGTAGCATGGTTTATTCTGCAAGTTCACATCTAGAGATCCTGATCCAATTATGATCAACCCAGAAGATGTTTCATGATGTTAGTAGTTACATAGCTATATTTCACAGCCTGTAGAACCCAACAGCTCATGTAGAAGTCTGACCCGTGGATGTATAGTTTATGACGTTAATGCATACGTACTGCAGTTATGGATTATCATTTTTAGAGTATTGCCGTAATGTCAGTGCAGGAATCTCTCGTTTATGCCCCATAATGCATGTGTACACGTCTCCAAATCATGGCAGATAAACTTAGTTCATTCAAAAATCATTAAGGAGAGTGTGTGTGTGTGTGTTAGTTAAATACATGGCACTGTTGCTAAGCAACATGATTCAGACAACCTTTGATGTGACTGACATAAAACACTGGCAGACATCATAAAACAGTTTCTGATCCGTGATAACTAGAAGATTGTAGATTTTTGTCTTTTTCTGTCTATCTAATTATCTTTAACTGTGATACTCTGTGTCCTAGGTTCACGATCATCTACTTTTTAGTTTATTTCATTATAAAAGATAGCAAATTAATTAAATACATTTTCAAAGCAAAATTGTGCAATGTGATGGAAAACTGCTAACTCTTGAGCAATCACTGTTAAACCCTGTGGACTGTTCTGTGACATGGTCCAGATTTAGCACTCTGCACTGGGATTGCCCATATCTGATGGTCCTGCTTCACTTAGAGGAAGACATCTCCTGGTTCTGTGCTAGCGCAGTGATATGTACCACCGACACAGCAGAGTTTGCAATCTACATACCCCATAATGCTCATATCTACATAATTGGTGGAAAGGAGTCACAGTGTATTTGAATGAACTGCAACCTTCTTTGATGGTTATTTCATTTAGGCCCAGGATAAACTAGCTCCAATTTGCTGTTATGTCATAATAACACATTATCCAACATGATAGCCATGCTCACCAATCTATTTCTATCAATGCCAAATTCTATCCTCTGTATCCAATTACCTTTAATAATTATTGGGTTTATTAGTGTCTTTCTATTTCTACCGATGCAAGAATGTAGCGTGGAATTTGAAAATGAAAAAAACCTCAAAACTAAGGCGTTTAATAGGGAGATTTTTTGTAGATTTTAACATAGAAACATAGAATGTGACGGCAGATAAGAACCATTCGGCCCATCTAGTCTGCCCAATTTTCTAAATACTTTCATTAGTCCCTAGCCTTATCTTATAGTTAGGATAGCCTTATGCCTATCCCACGCATGCTTAAACTCCTTTACTGTGTTAACCTCTACCACTTCAGCTGGAAGGCTATTCCATGCATCCACTACCCTCTCAGTAAAGTAATACTTCCTGATATTATTTTTAAACCTTTGTCCCTCTAATTTAAGACTATGTCCTCTTGTTGTGTTGGTTTTTCTTCTTTTAAATATAGCCTCCTCCTTTACTGTGTTGATTCCCTTTATGTATTTAAATGTTTCTAAGTGTTTCAAAGTGTTTGGTTTATAGTGCAGTTGACTTAAAACTGTTGAAGAAACTGATTTAAAGAGAATTTTGCTGATATTTCACGTCTTTTCTACAGGTTTACAAAGGACTGCAGTGGGAGCTTTTGGCAAAGAAATATCAAGATTTATTTTGAACAGCACTGATTACTTTTTCCCAAGTATACCATATTCTATCCATAGAACCATTCATATGAAACTTGGTGAGCATTTCCTTATAGCTCTCAGGTCTTATAGCTCTCCATAGTCTGTCATTTTGTTTTAATTTTGCTTTATGGCAAACTTGGTGAAAGTCTGCTTAACTCTTGCATTATAAAAGCATGTTTCATTTAAACCTTGTTTCCCTTGTATGGTGGTATTTTTCTATTTTATGTCTAATGGGATTCCGATTGAAAACAGAACTCTATTGTATCAGCATTGAATTACAGACATCAGTTTAAATAGACCCTTGATCATGCTGAAGTGCTTTATGTGTGAAGAGTGTCCTCTTTTTTTCAGATTTCAATCAATATTGGCACTTTTTTTTTTATATAAATTAAATTAAAAACTGAAAAGTCTCATCAGTCTGGTAGACACGGTGACTACAAAATGTCTTGGAAACATAGCCAAGAAGGTTTAACTGAAACATGTCATTGGTGGTAATATTACATTTATTGACTGTGTCTTATGTTTCATTTTATATCTCACTGTGTTTGGAGTGACTTACACAGGGTGATTCTAGAACCTATTTTTGTATTTGCCAACAATAACCCTGTCACTAAATGCATTGTACTTTTATAAAGTATCCACACTCAAGAGACAGGCCATTGCCCAGAGCAGGGCCTCACACTGCAACAGAAGCAATCCTTGTTACATGTATCTGTCAAGGAGCTGGCCTTACACCCCCAGAGAGCCCAGCTCCTTCATAGCACAGTGTGTACAAAGCAGCTACTGAGTGGGTGAGATGGGACATTATGTTTTAAGCCCCTCCCACACCCCTCACTAGTGCTTCTTCATACACCGCATGGGAACTGCTGTCTCAGGTGGGAGCTGTCCTGTGATACTGGAGATGGAGCTGCCCTGTAATGCTGCACATGGAGTTGAGGGTAGAGAAGGTACTAAAGTTGGGGTTGGGAGAGGGGAGATAGTGATGTGAGTAGAGAAGGTGAGGGGAGATAGTGATGTGAGTAGAGAAGGTGGGGGAGATAGTGCTGGGAGTAGAGAAGGTGGGGGGAGATAGTGCTGGGAGTAGAGAAGGTGGGGGGATATAGTGCTGGGAGTAGAGAAGGTGGGGGGATATGAGTGATTTAGGAGTAGAGAAGGTAAGGGATATAGGTGGTCATGAAGTAGAGAAGGTGAGGGGGGAGATAATTGCTGGGAAGTAGAAGGTGGGAGGCAATTTTGAGGTACAAGAGGTGAGGATATAGTGCTACAGGAGTAGAGAAAGGTGGGGATGCAATTTTGGGGTAGCGAAGGTGGGAGGATATTGTGCTGGGAGTAGAAGGTGGGGATATAGATTGCTGAGAGGTAGAGGTGGGGGATATAGTGCTGGGAGTAGAGAAGGTGGGGATATAGTGCTGGGGGGGTAGAAGGTGGGGATATAGTGCTGGGGGTAGAAGGTGGGGATATAGTGCTGGGGTAGAAGGTGGGGATATAGTGGGGGTAGAAAGGTGCAGAGGGGGATGGTACTGAGGGGTAGAAAGGTGGGGAGATAGTGCTGGGAGTAGAGAAGGTGGAGAGATAGTGCTGGGGGTAGAAGGTGGGGAGATAGTGCTGGGAGTAGAGATTAGAGATATACATTATTTGGGAGTAGAAAGGTGAGGGATATAGGTGCTGGGAGTAGAGAAGGTGGGGATATAGTGCTGGGAGTGCTTGAAAGGTGAGGGGGAGATATAGTGCTGGGGAGTAGAGAAGGTGGGGATATAGTGCTGGGAGTAGAGAAGGTAAGGGGGATATAGTGGCAGGGAGTAGAGAAGGTGGGGATATAATTGCTGGGGAGGTAGAAGGTGGGATAAGTGCACAGGGGTAGAGAAGGTGGGATGGTGCGGGGGTAGAAAAGGTGGGATATAGTGCTGGGGGTAGAAGGTGGGGGGAGACAGGTGCTGGGAGTAGAAGGTGGGGGGAGATAAGGTTATTAAGCTGGGGTTAAGTAAGATAGTGCTGGGAGTAGAGAAGGTGGGGGGATATAGTGCTGGGAGTAGAGAAGGTGGGGTGGGGGGGATAAGGTTATGAAGTTGGGATGGGGGAGGAGAGAGTGCTGGGAGTAGAGAAGGTGAGGGGATAAGGTTATGGGGGTGGGGGGTAGAGAAAGATGGAGCTGGGATGGACTGAAGGAGAGTAAGCTTGGGGGAGAAATGGAGATCGAGCTTTGAAGAGAGAGGAAGCTAGGGAAAGGGAGAAGAAGCTGAGTGTTAGATGGACATGGAGCAGGATAGGAGAGAGAGGGAGCTGGGTGTTAGATGGACATGGAGCGGGATAGGAGAGAGAGGGAGCTGGATGTTAGATGGACATGGAGCAGGATAGGAGAGAGAGGGAGCTGGGTGTTAGAGGGACATGGAGCAGGATAGGAGAGAGAGGGAGCTGAGTGTTAGATGGACATGAAGCGGGATAGGAGAGAGAGGGAGCTGGGTGTTAGAGGGACATGGAGCAGGATAGGAGAGAGAGGGAGCTGGGTGTTAGATGGACATGGAGCAGGATAGGAGAGGGAGGGAGCTGAGTGTTAGAGGGACATGGAGCGTGATAGGAGAGGGAGGGTGCTGGGTGTTAGATGGACATGGAGCGGGATAGGAGAGGGATGGAGCTGGGTGTTAGAGGGACATGGAGCGGGATAGGAGAGAGAGGGAGCTGAGTGTTAGATGGACATGGAGCAGGATAGAAGAGAGAGGGAGCTGAGTGTTAGATGGACATGGGGCAGGATAGGAGAGAGAGGGAGCTGAGTGTTAGAGGAACATGGCGTGGGATAGGAGAGGGAGGGAGCTGGGTGTTAGATGGACATGGAGCAAGATAGGAGACAGAGGGAGCTGAGTGTTAGATGGACATGGAGCAGGATAGGAGAGGGAGGGAGCTGGGTGTTAGAGGGACATGGAGCAAGATAGGAGAGAGAGAGGGAGCTGGGTGTTAGATGGACATGGAGCAGGATAGGAGAAAGAGGGAGCTGGGTGTTAGAGGGACATGGAGCAAGATAGGAGAGAGAGGGAGCTGAGTGTTAGATGGACATGGAGCAGGATAGTAGAGAGAGGGAGCTGAGTGTTAGAGGAACATGGCGTGGGATAGGAGAGGGAGGGAGCTGGGTGTTAGATGGACATGGAGCAAGATAGGAGAGAGAGGGAGCTGAGTGTTAGATGGACATGGAGCAGGATAGGAGAGGGAGGGAGCTGGGTGTTAGAGGGACATGGAGCAAGGTAGGAGAGAGAGAGGGAGCTGGGTGTTAGATGGACATGGGCAGGATAGGAGAAAGAGGGAGCTGGGTGTTAGAGGGACATGGAGCAAGATAGGAGAGAGAGGGAGCTGAGTGTTAGATGGACATGGAGCAGGATAGTAGAGAAAGGGGTAGCTTAGTGCTAGAGGGACATGGAGCAGGTTAGGAGAGAGAGGGATCTGGGTGTTAGATGGACATGGAGCAGGATAGGAGAGAGAGGGTGCTGAGTGTTAGATGGATATGGAGCGGGATAGGAGAGAGGGAGCTGGGTGTGAGGAGTAGATGGAGTTTATTGGCGAAACAATCAATAGTTTTACTTCAAGGGATTCTATAGTCACCTGGTATCTATAGCCTGTCCCTGCAGGCTGAACACTGTAAACATTGCCTTTTTAGAGAACTCCTCTAGTGGCAGTCACTCGAATGGCTACTAGAGGTGCTTCCTGTGTCAGTACTGCACAGTGTGCAGAAACACTAAAAGTTCCCCGTAGAGATGTGTTGAATCAGTTGAGATATTTTTTGTCTACACACCAAACGAGCCTCTTTATTCCAACAGAAATATAAATTGAAAATGGTAGAGTAATGTTAGAATCACACTGATCATTTTGTCCTTGCAGGAATTAATATAAAACCCTGCCCCTCGCAGAATACAATGCTTTCCAGTAGAGAACTATTTTATGTGAATCAGGCCGAGGAAACACTCAATAAAGCTATATCAATGCTCCACCAACAGGAAGGCTGGCATGCTGAAGTGCATCTGGTGAGTGGCACACATTATAATACCTGGCACTTCTGGAATATACTTTAGGTTTATTAATATTTATTTAGCGCCAACGTGTTCTGCAGAACTTTCAGGGCCAGATTTTCCTCAATGCTGCCCCCACCTGATATATATATATGTGTGTGTGTGTTTTGTGTTTTGGATACATTAATGGAACTAGTTAGGGTTATGATTGAATTGTGAATTTTACTAGGTGGGTGGGTGCTGAGAGAGGGTGTGTTTGTTTATGTTGTGTTGCTTGTTTATGGGGATTCAGCTTGACAGGCTGTGTGTGGAGTTGCTGCTTGTACTACTGCAGGTGTGGAGGAGATGTTGGTTGTGTGGTTGCAGTTGTGGAGGGAAGGACACTTGTAGAGTTACATGTGTGGGAGGGTGCCTGTTGTGGGATTTTGTGTGGTTTGGAGCTGTAGTGTTTTGTTTAGGGGGCTGTTGTGTATGTTGGGGATAGGGGCTATAAGGTGTGTTTGTGGGGATAGGGACAGTATGGACTGTTATGTATGTGTATTGGGTGGGTCCGCTCAAAGGATTGGCAGGTCTACTAACCAGGATGGCCTACGGAGGGCAGACCATGCAAGGAGCACTGTTTCAGTGTCTCAACAGGGCCTTAGTGACCTAGACATTGCGCATGATCGTGTAGTGATATGCTCATGCTATGCTTGTTGTGGACAGTTTTACAAAAGCAGGACACGAGGGAACTAAGTCAGGGCAGCAAGATTGAACTCAAGACTGTCCTGGGTCACTTGGGAGGCCTGATATGTTATTTCTGTCTCAGTAGCACATGGTAGCTCCAGCCTCCAGCAGTGCCCCTGCACACATGTAACTCCATACTTTAAAAATATGTGCATTATATTGATCATTAGATGAATCCATATCAAGACTTTGAGAAAAATGTAAGACTTTCTGTTTAAAGAGAAGTGTTTTTGTTTACCAGAGAAATGACATTCCCTCATTCCTTCAACCAAGTAAACACTATTTATAGAGTTTGCAGGGTTGAATAACACAGAAGAGTTAAATAATAACCGCTATTGCCCCACGATGCCTCGGCATGTGAATGTGTGCTCTTGCATTTAATGGAGGAATGCCATAGCTACACATGTACGGTCTGCATTTTCTCCAGCAATGCTGTGTGCATGTATTGAGCAACATGGCATTTTAAGTGTTAACAAAGTAACAATCGTTTTTGAAGGGGGTTAAACTTTCGAGGAGGTTATCGTTTAACTTTATGGAATCTTGTTCCAGGTATTTTGTGAAAGTACTAATGTTGATTATAACTTCTGTGCAGGAAAATGGCGACTGGATACTCAGTAAAACTTTCCCAAAGGTAGGAAAAGTATTTCGTGCTGAGGCCACTATAGATTCACCACCTGATCTTATTTATACTCAACTCTTCGAAAATCTCGAGCAGATGAATCAGTGGAATCCAAACATCAGTAAAGTGGAGGTAATGGAAACATAATTAATTTGTGATGTGACTACTGATGAAGTTCATTATAAAATCTGAAGGTTTTTCTGTGTGAATGGTTACCTTGAAATCATCATTTATTACTGATAAAAAAAGGTTGGAAACAGCATGGTATGTCAGCAGCCAATCAGAGTGAAGGATTTGCTGATTGGTACCTAACTTCCTGCTCTGTTTGAAATGGTAAAGTTATTTTTCACTCCTCAAAATGTAGTGATAAAAAAACAAGCTGCATCGCTATACTTTCACCTCGTGACTATAAAGTGGTCAAATGCAACATGTAGGACGGGTTTGGATCCCCTGAGATTGATGTAATATAATTACTGATATTGTCACTCTCTTACGATGGTTACCCCACCTACTTCAGGTGGAATCTCATCAATATATTATTCTTGTATTTGTGACATTCAAATTTAAATAAGGAATTATAAAAATGACGATTGCAAAAAGCATAGCAGCCAATCAGAATCAATGATTTGCTAAGATGTACCCAACCTCCCACTCTGCATAAAATGGCAAAACAGTTTTTTGATATTTTGTATGATCCAGCATGTCAAACATGCTTAAAAGGACACTATAGGCACCAAGACCACTTCAGATTTAAGTGGTCTGTGTGCATTGCCCCAGGTCCCTTAACTCTGATCAAGTCATTTTGCAGTTTTTGATAAACTGCAATAATTACCTGCTAGGGTTAGCACCTCCTCTAGTGACTGTCTACCATGGAGACACTACGCATGGGGACATCCATTGTCGCCCAAAACCCCATAGGAAAACATTGAATAAAGCTTTATTATGGGGAAATCATAATGCGACCGCGGCCGCCCATGTGCATTAGGTCTTTCCCGCCGGCAGATGGGAGACTAGAAAAGGAGGTCCCAAGCCAGCGCCGAGGGACATTGGCGCTGGACCCAGGTAAGTGACAGAATTAGTTTTTAACCCCTTCTGGACCATGGCAGGGGGAGGTGGGCTTGACAGAGGGGGTAAGCTGTAGTGCCTGGAAAATGGGTTTGTTTTCCTGGCACTATAGTTTTTCTTTAAAGGGTAACTCTGACCTTTTGAAAGTGGGGACCTTTCCATTATACTATGCCTTGTTGAGCAAGGTGGAGAAGCCACTGCGCCACCTCCTGAAGTCACTGACATGGATTTTGACGTCTCAGAGTGCATGTGCGTGCTCCAGTGCAGTGAGAGGAGGGAGGTTGGTTGGATGGTGGGTTTAAAAAACTAAATGTTGCCCACAGGGAGGTAGGATGAGAAAGGAAAGCTAGGCAGGGCTTAAATTGTGTTTTTGCAGTGCATAATAAAATTACAACAAGCCTGAGGTACCCCAACGGCAGTCCCCAGGCATATTATCACACTTTACAATTGGGGTAATCGATGATATATGCACAATTTTATATTTTAAACAGGCTATGATCATATGATATGGAACATGCTAGGTACATCGATTGATTATTCAAGCTAGAGAAACACAGTACTAGTGCTGGCTCATAGAAGTTTTACAGACTAGAGTCGAGACCTAGTTACTGGTTGCATAAACAGAGTGAGAGCAGGGGCACTATGCCCATGAGTGGTAGTATGGTAATGCACTTAAGAGATTTAGGCTAGGCCTGAATGTCATGCATTGTAGATCTAATCTAGCATATTATATTAAACACGTTTATGAGCCCAAGCTTGTTCTAAGTAAAGGAGTAGTATAGGAGTAGCAAACAAGCTAAGTAAGAGAGTGGTTAGAATGCCACTGGGGACTTGTCATGGAATATAGTCAGACAAGAGTTAATGCTAAGAGCACATATACGTGTTAGCTGGCCTGGATAACCCCTCTGCCCGCTCCCTCCATCCACTTGGCTAAGTATGAAAGGAATAGCATCCCAGCATAGTGTTAAACACAGCTAGTTCTGCTCTGTGTGTCTCGGGTTGCCGCACGGGCTCATATCTTGCGTCCTCCGATCTAGTGCTATCTGGAGCCGGCCTCAGAGTCCGCGCGTGGGTCCGCCTAGGTGTCAGGCAGTGATGTGAGATTTCTTCTCCTCATGGCTTTGGTGAGTAGTTGCTGGAGCATCGGTGCTGGGATGCGGGTGGGTGCCGCCGAGAATTATTTTTCAACTGTTGGACTTTCGTATATGTGGTGGTAGGTAGCCTATGAATGGAGGCAGAGATCCTTCCACGTCCTCTCTAGGGATTCCACATGTAGGCTGCTCAGCGTGGACGTTCTCCTCGAGGCTTAGGTGGCGGCCATTTTAGCTTCAGAGTGTGGTATTCTGAGTGCAGATTAAATTGTAGCGTTCGCTTCCCTGCTGTTGTGGATCTTCCAGTGGGTACCGGGATAACCCCCACCGGTCCAAAGGGTGGGGAACTGGACCAGGACCACGTCAGAGAGCCAATGTGTGATAGCCAGCGGAGAAAGCAGGATGGCGGCTGTCCACCCCGCTCCTACCTTGAGTAGGCTGCAACCTCCCGGGCTCCAAAAACTCCCGATGTCTGCTGCATCACTGACAGCCATGTGTTTGTTTTGTAGTCATTCTGGGCTCAGATTTAGCTCAAGAGCTGGATATTTCAGTGTATAAGGCTGAGACCCTCACGAGCCTCTCCTGCATGCGACCGGTCAGCATGTCGGCCTGGCCCTGCCCCCGACAACATTCATATTTTATTCAAAGAATGACATTGCCATCCCTGTTCATAGTTTGAGGCTGCAAATATCATGTGTGATGGAGGTGCAACTAACCTCACCACATAATTACAAATATCTCAGTATGTGCAGTGGTTCATGCAGAATCATTGCACTTACTGACTCCTTCCAGCATGATTACTGAAGTGGTCATGGTGTTTGGAGTAACCCTTTAAGTAAAAACACATTTCTGACAATGCTACTTTAAAAGTATTTTAAAGAAGTCTATAGGGTCAGGAACACAAACTTATATTCCTGACCCTACAGTGTTAAAATTACCATAATGCACCCTGGCCTCCCTAAATATAGTAAAATCTTACTTGTGTCCAAGTCTGTCGCTGCTGGCTTTGCCCCTGGCCTGCCTGCTGTCTGCTGACATCACCAGAAGTGCTGGTCTGAGCCATAGGATTGGCTGAGACTGTCAAAGAGGCAGATCCGAGCCAGCACAAATCAAGCACAGCCCTGGACAATCAGCATTTCCTCATAGAGGTGAATTGAATCAATGCATCTCTATAAGAAAAGTATAGTGTCTGCATGCAGAGGGTGGAGACACTAAATTGCAGTACTGCACAAGGAAACACTTGACCCATTTGAGAAGTGGTCAGTGAAGTTATCACTAGGCTGTAATGTAAACACTGCATTTTCTATGAAAAGACAGTGTTTACAGCAAAAAGCCTGAAGGTAGTGATTCTGCTCACCCGAACAAATTCGATAAGCTGTAGTTGTCCCTTTAAGGGTTCCATTTACACTTTCATTTCTATTGGACGGGCTAATTTCTGCCAAATAGCTTCACCATAAGATAAACTGATATAGGAGAATAAATGTAAAAAGAAAAGTAATAATGATACATTTTTCATTTAGTATAACATAAAGAAAATATTACATTAGTTATATTTATTATTGTACCAGATCAATTAAGATTTGATTATTTAAAATAATTAAGGTGCAGCAGACTTCTAAATGTGTTGATGGCATTAGTCCGAGCATCACAGAAGATGCCGGCTGCGGAACTGCCAAGCTGTTCAAAAACCACCAGGGAACTCCAGGCATTATAATCACTTCAATGAGATGAAGTGGTTTTTGAGCCTAGCGATAAGATAAAGATAGATATTTTAAGCTAAAATATATATCGAGAACAATTTTCGATGTGCTCGTTAATATTGTCCAAATGCTATTATCACTCCCACCGAGTATCTCTTGGCTCTCCGATTTTTTTTTTTCAAGACTCTTTTTCACACATTACCAAATGAAGTCCAAATGAGAAAATCCATGTTGAAACTAACCATTAAATTTCCTTTAGATCCTTCAAAAAATTGGAAGAAACACTCTCTTGACACGTGAAGTGACATCAGATATTCAAGTAAATGTAATCAACAAAAGGGACTTTGTCAGCGTACGGCACTGTTGCAAGAGGGGGTCTGCCTTTTACCTTGTGGGAACCGCTACGCATTCTGAGTTAATGCCACCACAACAAGGAGTTATCAGGTATTGGAATGACCTGCTATGATTTAGTAGGAACACTTTTCCTGAACAGACTTTTTTTTTTACACATTCTACATTTTTTTGCACAAACAACGGTGGTGATAATTTATTAAAAATAAAATTAGCATATTAAACCCTTGTTTATGGTACATCTCACCACCACTGTGTTGCTTTGTGCAAAAAGAAATAGCTGGGTATATAAATACTGAGACTGCCATGGATCTCGTGATTATACATGTGTTGCTTTGGGTGGCTGGAAGTCACAACGTATCCATATCTACCATAATTAGATTTGTTTAGTTTTTGCATTACCACTACTAGGCGGCACTGTATCGATGCAGATTTTTAAAATTTATTTATTTTTTAAATATGCAAAACTAACAAATTCATAATAACACATTTGAAATTGTGGTGTTTTCCAAACTTTAGGTTCTCTGTAGTAAGCATTCCTCAGACTAGGAAGCGATCACTCAGCCAGTATTCTCTAATAACTGAGTTTATCTCAATAAACTTTGCATAGCAGATCTTTATGCACAGACAAAGAGGTACGTTGTAGTCCAGTTAAATGCTTTTTAATTATTGAACTTGTAACTGAATTACAACTCCCATACATTTTGTTGTGCTTCCTTACGACATGAACAGTGGTGTTTTTTTGAGAATCACTGCATTTGCGTGGAACAGAAAAAGAGCTGTGACACCATGTTCCTCGGTACTGTAACCAACAAGAAGTATGTGTATTAGAGATGGGGAGATGAGGGCAGTGACAGAACGAATGTAAAGGGTGCCCTGGTGCAAGAATTTGTTTTTAGGCCCCCTCTAGATCAAGCATGGCTGGAAGGTATGTCCCACAATGCTTTGTCCCCGGAAATGTCCCACAATGCTTTTCCAGTTGGGAAACCATGTGCCCTTCCTTGCCGAGCTGTATTTATGAGCAGTGTTTGTGTTTGAATGTAATCATCTTTTATATGTTTGAATGCATATGTATATTTGTGTGTAGTGTTGGCAATTGAAAGCATTTGTGTGTTTGTATGTACTGTTGCTATTTAAAAGCAGTGGTGTACTTGTGTGTAGTGTATGTGTTTGAATGTGCTTTTATATAGAGTTGGCATTAGATTGCTGGAATGTATGCACATACACATTGAAACACACACAGGTACATACACACACTAAAACACACAGATAGCACACACACACACAGGTATACACATGTACACACTGATAGTATATATACACAAACAGATACACACATAGATAGTATATATGCACACAGATACAAACATACACAAGTTTAAACACACATACACAAATATACACACACGTATAACACATATACATACTGACATACAGTTGTGCTCGGTGCTTTGTTTTGGTCGTGTCTGTCTGTGCTGCGGGTGTGTGGGAGTTCTCTGAGAGGCCGAGAGTTGGTAGCAGCCGCACCACCTCTTGCAGGTCTGTAACAGTGTGGGTTTGGCCATTCTTCTGGACCTGTAGGGCCCTTGGTGAGCGCCATCGGTAGGCTATGTTGTTTTGCCTCAGGAGCGTTGTGATTGTTTGAAGGGACTTGCACCATTGCAGGGTGTCCCCTGACAGGTGTGCGTAGAAGGTAAGGTTGGCGTTTTCGAAGGTGAAGGGAGTCTTCCCTTTGAGGGCAGTGAGTATTGCTGCTTTATCTGTCCCTGATCAGAACCTCACCGCTAGGTCCCTTGAGGCCGTGTCTGGGGCCCTTTTTGGTTTAGGGACCCGGAAGATTGCCTCAAAGCTCATGGATTTGGTCTGCTGTGGTTTCAGCAATGTTCCTGTGAGCCTCCTTATTAGGTGTGGGAACTCTTCTGTTGGTATGTCATCAGGGACGCCTCGAATTTTGAGGTTATTGCGACGTCTAAGATCCTCAAGGGCTGCAAATCGTTGGTCTGTGGCCCCTTGGTGCTTCTTGATCGCCTGTATTTAGTTCTGTAGGTCTGCTAGCTCTTGGGCCTGTCCGATTGTGGAGGCCTCGACAGCCCCTATGCGACTCGCCAAGCCTATCAATTCCCCGCGGAGCTGGGCCACGTCGGCTTGAAGCACCCGCTGCAGCTCTCCCAGCATGGTCCTCAAAGTGTCCATGGTGACCGGTTCGGGCCGCTTTTTAGGCTTAGGTGGTGGCGCTAGCGGGTGCACTCATCCAGGCTCAGCTCGTCTAAGGAGTCTGAGTATCCGCCATGTCAGCGTCCATTTTGGCCCCATGTGCGTCTTGTGCCTGGCGGAATAAGTCCAAAATATTGTGTCCCGATCTGGGCTTCTCTGGCTTCGACTTCTTCGACTTCCGCCCCATAATGTTTGTGGATCTTTGGGCTCTGTTTGCGGTTCGTTGTTCAGGCAAGAAACCGTTTTTTAATAGCCATTAGTGAGGAGCTCGGCTATCGTGCATCCATTTTGGCTTGCTGCTTGGCCCCGCCCCCTGGATATATTTTTATATCCTTTTCCATCTTAATAAAGTTCCATTACCTTGCTACTCATGTTTTGACAGTTCGTTTCTGCTCCCCATGGCTCAGTATCTAGCCTGCTCAGTGCATCAATGTGAGAGCTAACAAACTCATTGATTATTTATACACAGGCATTAATTGCACTTTATAAAGCCACAGGTGTGGGAAATTAACCTTTAATTGCTATTTAGCCCGTGTGTGTCTGTAACAAGGCCAAACATTTAAGGGTATGTAAACCTTTGGTCAGGGCCATTTGGGCGATTTCTGTTATCATTATGATTTAAACAGGAGCCAAACAACTATGTGATAATAAATAGCTTCATATGATCACTATCCTCTTATAAAATACAATTTTTGCATGATCAGTCATATTTTCAAAATCAATGCCAAAATGTCACAATTTCTGACAGGGTATGCAAACATTTGAACACAACTGTATACACACAAATCACAATTTACATATTTTAGTCACCCCTCTTGCTTTCAAACCTTTTTGGTGCAGGAGGGTAGCTTCCTGGGGGTCCAGTGGCATCTGGCTGGGTTTGATGGATGTTTAGTCCAGACTCTCCCTCTTCTCTGGTTCTGGCTCTCCCTCGTCTCTATTACCCTCCTTTCTCTCTTGGCAAGTTGGCAAGAAGTGACTTCTTGCATGCACCACAATCAATGCGATTCAACAATTCACTGCTTCTTGTAGACACCTTGGATGGTGTTAATGTGGAAATGCCTGTAGTGACTTTCAGTTGATAGCCACTAGAGTAGCGTTCTCGTACAAATGTAAACATTGCAGTTTCCGTTAAACAGTAATGCTTTACATTATCAGAAAAAAGGGGCAGAATCTATGCACCAAAACCACTATAGTACAATGTAGTGGTTTTGGTACTCAGAGTGTCTCTTTCACAAAGAAATCTATTATCTCCCATATAGACAGTGTTTCTAATAGACCATCCTTTTGTCATCAATTACCAGTTTTGAATTCAAGCTCAGAATCATTATCTAGACTAACCTCAATTAGACGTTGTATCCCTGACAAAATATCCAATTATCCCTTAATATTAGTTTTTCACAGTCTCTTCCATCCTTATTAATGCTTGTTTTTAAGTCACAACTAATGATACAGAGTCAATAAGTCTTATTCAATAACCCGGACAGGATTTGGGGTGACGATATGTAGAAGGCCAATGAAAAATACCAAAGTTTAAGGATTTTTCTAGTTCTGCTGTTTTGGTCTAAATGGGCTGTTTAATCCCGACTTATTGTGTACCAAACATTATTATACATTTCTGTATCACTGTGTTTGATTTTAGTCCATCTTATATTTGTAGTTACACTAATTTAAGATTGTTTTAATTACCCATTACAATTTTAAACATTCAGTAACGTTACTGAAAAAGAGTATCCATGTAAAAGAATATGGATTCCTATTAATCTACTGTGAATTGGTTTACTATTACACAGCTTTGCCCAAATCCTCTCCCTGCAGACATATTCAGCTAGCAAGAAATATGTGTTATAATGAGATAAATCAATAGCAGGAAATACAATGTATTATCTATTTAATTAATAAAATGCACATCAGACTCCGTTATCGTCACACTTTTCACGAAAGTAACAAAAAAAAAACGATTCTTATTAGCTCACGCTAATTTTAGCGGAACGGATCTTAAATTATAGAATATATTACATCAAGTTAAAAAGGAAATTCTTTTTACAACATGGCTTATTGGTAGTATCAGTGAAGTGAGATGCCAAAAAAAAAAAGAGACGAGAAAATTGGCCATTTCTGCTTCCAGTAAAAAATAACTAAATTCGATCTATATACATAAAAGAAAGAAAACATATAACACTATACTGCACTTTAATGGCACTAAATCATGATGTTGTTATGGTGTCATGTACATAAAACCTTAAAGGAACACTATAATGTTATGAATGGAAACATGTATTCCTAACTAACGCTATAGTGACATGATAACGCCTTAGGATACCCACCCCCCCACCCATGTGAAGTAAAAATGTAGTTCTACTTATTGTTCTTCCCTCTACATGCTGCTCTCACCACAAAATGCTTCACTGCGCCATTCAGCATCTCTACATGGAGATGTATTGAATCAGTTCATCTCTATGGGGAGCGTTTCGCGTCTCCATGCGGAGCGTGGAGAAACTGAACATAGATGCTGCAAACATTACTGGAGCTTACCCAGGAAGTCCCTCTAGTGGCCACCTAAGTGATGGCCACTAGATGCACTGCTTATTCTCTGAAAGGGCAGCATTTACATTGCTGAACCTGCTGGGACATGCTATAGACAGCAGAAAAAACTGAATTCGTCTGTAGTGGTTCTAGGCTGAATATAGTGTCCCTTTTATATATCCTTGCATCATTCCCTCTATTGGTATACTCAGATACAGGCAAATCTCGCTAATACAGTGGTTTAGGTTCCAAGACACTGCTGTGGACAATATTACAGTTTGTTTGTTTTTTAGTTTGCTAGCGCATATACAGTAAAAGCCTTAAAACCTGTTTAAACTATCATACATCGTATGTACTGTATATGAAGTGTGCAATACTGGTATTCCCCAAAAATTTTTTTAAAAAAGATGTAACCGTAATAACATTAAATTATAAAATATTACGACCTTCACATACTAGAGATATGGAAGTTCATCATCTGCCTGAAACTGAAAAGCTCTGTATTAGCGAGGCGCTGCTAAGTGACGTATTACTGTCATTCATTACAAGTGGTTATTTTATTAAATCATCTCGAGTAACTGCATTGCTTGTATGAAATGAATCCAATGACAATGCATTGAACGTTTAGTCTGTCTCTAGTAAGCCAAACAGGCTCTAGCACAAGTTTACATCTTTAAAAAGCAAAGGGTGATGTACACTAGTATAATAGATACTCCCTTAACCCCTTAAGGACACATGACATGTGTGACATGTCATGATTATGACATGTCATGATTCCCTTTAATTCAAGAATTTGGTCCTTAAGGGGTTAAAGAATGGGGCAAAGAGTCATTAGGACAAGTCAACCGAATCATGTAAGGCAAGAAAAATGGCAAAAGTCATCCACAATCATAGAGTCTCTAAGACCTGGAATGTAGAAGCACCAATTAAATAGTGTTGCGCTATCCACAGGAGATTCCAGATTTGTAGCAAACAACAACGCCATCTGCAGGAGATGTTCTGTCATTGAAACAGCCACAATTTATACAGACAGCATAAAATGTTTGAATTTTAGTCTGTCCTTGACTTCGCACAGTACTTTCTACCTCTGGCACAGTAAAGAAAATCCATGATTTAGGAAGAGATAATATTAAAACAATCTTTTATTAAATAGTTTTTAAAAAAAAAGTATTATAAAAAAAAAAAGAGAGAGACAAAGAAACTGGAAGAATATCACTTTATTTTAAAGATTATAATGTTTTGTATTTTTTGCATCGGACGTTCATAAACATAAGTTAGAAAAGTATATATATTGCTTCCAAATGTGTCAGTTTATTTTATCTGGCATAATTTCACTGTGTAACTTCACACACCCATTCATATATACATGAAAGCCAAATCTTGGACGCAGTGCTTGTTGAGAGTTGAAGAAACAGATGTATTGAACATTCCATTAGTAGATATTTTGGTTCTAAGAAGTGATTTTCTCCACATGTGTCCAAGTAGTATTTGGTTTTCTCTTCCCTAACAATAGCAGATAGGAACACCCAGTGCGCTGCAAGGGTCACGGTCAATCCCCTCTAGGTGAACACTTGAATTGGATTATGGAATCCCTCGTCTAATTGCTGCCAGGACAGCTTCTTTTAACACTGGCCAAGGATGAATATTGTCGTTTGCTAGAATTTAGGGCCTCTGAAATTCTCGGTTTCTTCCCATATGCAATGGTCTGAACTGCATGTAGATTATGCAGGTCAAAAAAAGTGATTGGTATTCCACTCCTCTTAAAGGATATTTGACATTCCAGAAATAGATAAAAATCTGCTTTTCTTATCCTACAGTCATTCTAATAAAAATACTTCACACGTAGTGCTATTCATTAGAGTGAGAATTCAAGTCAGCTATGCTATCAGTTTGACTACTCTGGCCTTAAATATGAAACAATATTTTAATTATCTCTTTAATCAATAACCTTATGTGTCTCCTTGGTGAATTTCCCTAGCACAGTCAGAAAATCTACAAACTACTGTTACTTTACACGTTTTTGTTTAATGGTTATTGTAAATTGGTTATTTCTGGCAAACAGTAATTCCCCATGTCAATAGCAATCAGTGGCTGGCAAGTGCTAGTGTCAGGAGGAGGCTCCTACAGCTTGCACGGACATGTTAAGCGTTGTCTATCTGTGCAGGGGAGGGCTTGGGAGCAAGTCTGAATGAATGGTCATGTGGCATTGTGATGTAGGGATAGTATGCGCTGGGATCATCCATCATTATGACCAGCACAGCATAAGCGAATATTTAAAGGAACCTGTAGATGCCCAAGTGATGCAGGCTGTGTCCTGAGTCCATGGCTGTAAATAACAACCTATGAACATCTAGTCTTACCTCATACCCATCTACAAACACTACCTGGGACATGTATCATATTGCTATAGTATGGCAGCCTGACTGGTCCCAGATACTACAGGCTGCCTGGAAATAATATCCCCAGAGACGGTCTATGTCTACAGAACCTGTGATTGCAGGACACCAATTCAAGCACAAACTCCTACTGTTGTGAAATTGTAAATGCCCTTGTGACGAGACCAATCTCGCCACTGTGCATTGGAGGAGCCTGGTTGCCTGCCTGCTGCCTTTTGACTATGGACCGGCATTTAAATACTTTATTTTCCTATGCAGAAAAAGTCTATTCATGTATTTCTGCCCGGGCGTTCGGTAGATTCTATCTACCGAACAAACAGCCGTCAATTGACCACCCAGTAGCTGCGGTTAGACGCAGCTTAATTGACTATACCAGGTGGCCGCGGCTACGCATAATGAACACTGGATGGCAGCAGTCTGCTGTTCACACGCGGCCAGTTCATTCAAGGATTTACTGAATGAACTCATTTAACCCAGATAGACTACCCAATGCATTTGCTGCAGCATTAGAACGGTGTTCCACGCCAATGTGTGTCCATGGTAGAGCTGGAAAGGGGGTGAATTGCCCCACGCCACTAGCATGGGAAGGCTGGCAAGTTCCTGTCCCATTGTGTTTTATACCCCACCAACTATAGACTGTAAGCTCGTTTGAGCAGGGCCCTCTTCAACCTATCGTTTCTGTAAGTTTTCTTCTAATTGTCCTATTTATAGTTACATCCCCCCCCTCATGGTATTGTAAAGCGCTACAAAATCTGTTGGCGCTATATAAATGGCAATAATAATAATGATAAGAAAAGTAGATTTTGGGCTGCAGCTTCACATCATTCATCCGAGTGATTTAGGATGTCTGTTTGCACAGTTCTGCAGGGCAATGATCATGACATTTATAACAAGCCAGTTGTCACTGAGGCAGTGGATTCAGTGAGAAACAGTTTGTGTCTTAAAGGGACACTGAAGTCACCAAAACAACTCTAGTTCAGTTTTGGTGTACAGATCATGCCCATGCTATCTCACATGTCAATTCTCTGCCATTCAGGAATTAAATCACTTTCTGTCAATGCAGCCCTAGCCACACCTCCCCAGGCTATACACAGTCTGCATGAGCTAGGGATGCACCGAAATGAAAATTCTGGGCCGAAACCGAAAATTTAGGATGCCCTTGGCCGAAAACCGAAAATGACTTTTTTCCCCCAAATGATTTAAAAAAAAGTTTTTTCCTATAATTTTATTAATATTAGACTTTTTAATGAATTTAATTAATCTAATATGAAAAACTTCCCTTCTCTCTTCTCCTTTAGTGGTCCACCCCACTTAATGTTCCTCTCTCTCCCCCCTCTAGTGTTCCTCTCCCCTCCCTCTTTTTAGTATTCTTTCCACCCCACTCCATAGTGTTCTTCCCCCCCTCCCCGTCCCATAGTGTTATTTCCCTCCCTCCCCTGTCACATAGTGTTCTCCCCCTCTCCCCTGTCCCATAGTGTTCTCCCTCTCTCCACTGCCCCATAGTGTTCTCCCCCTCTCCACTGTCCCATAGTGTTCTCCCCCCTCCCCTGTCCCATAGTGTTCTCCCTCTCTCCATTGCCCCATAGTGTTCTCCCCCTCTCCACTGTCCCATAGTGTTCTCCCCCCCTCCCCTGTCCCATAGTGTTCCTCCCCCTCCTCATCCCATAGTGTTCTTCCCACCTCCCCTATCCCATAGTGTTCTCCCCCTCCCCTCTCCCCTGTCCCATAATGTTCTCCCCCTGTCCCAAGTGTAGTAATCTTGACCTTTCATGTTATCATTACTATCTTTCATTGTGATATATAATCATCTGAATTGTTAATGCAAGCATGTCTGTTAACCCCTTCAGGACGAGTGACGGACAAGGTCCTTCATCCAGGGGAGACCCTTAACGACGGGTGACGGACCTTGTCTGTCATGCGTTAAAATTAAGCCCAGATCGCCGCGATCGCGGGGTTAACGGTGCTCCGGTCTGCCTCTGTATTAGAGGCAGACCGGGAGCACCTGATCGGGCTGCCCCTGCAGCAGTGCTCGCTCTGACAGGCTGTCAGAGCAAGCACATGTGCTACATAGACTTACCTTCCGCCTCCCAGCACTTCCGGGTTCTGTGTGAAGTGCAGGGAGACGGATCAGACCTTAATTTAAAATCCCATACCCATTTTAAAAAAATTAACCTCTTCCCTGCCAATTGATCACTGACTACAGTGATCAATTTGCAGGGTATACATTTAACTGTGATCTGCTTTTTTTTTTTTTAATTTTTTTTTTTATGAATTACCCCAGGGTGTATTCTTTAATAAATAGTATGTGTTTGTGGGGAAGTTTCAATAACCAACCGTCTAAACTACTAAAAAATGCAACATGGACACAGCGTAAAACTTCAAAGTTAGAAAAAAACTGAATGGCTGTGTCTCAAATGTGCCCCTACAATATCCACATATACCTGGCAAAGGTACAAATGGGGATATTGCTATACTCAGACGACGTAGCTGAGCAACATATGAAGTATTATACAGTCGTAGCACACAAGGTTTGCAAAATATACTGTGCAAACTCAATTTGTGTTTAAAAAAGGCAGAAAAAACGCTTATTACCACTACAATTGGTACAAGCTAGTGGAAACATGATCCCACGCTAAGGTTCAAAATATGCCTTTTGAAATACCCTGGGATGTCTTCTTTAAAAAATAGTATGGATTTATAGGGTATTTGGATTATATAGCCTGGTAAAATACTGTAAATTGGGGCATGGGCACAGCGTAAAAATTTTAAGTTTGAAAAAAACTGGAATGGCTGTGTCCCAAATGTGCCCCTTCCATGTCCACATATACCTGGCAAAGGTACATATGGGGGTATCGCTGTACTCAGATGACATAGGTGAGAAACATATGAAGTATTATAGAGTCATAGCACACATAAAGTTTGCAAAATATACTGTGCAAACTCACTTTGTATGTCAAAAAGGCAGAAAAAATGCTTATTACCACTACACTTGGTACAAGCTAGCGGAAACATGATCCCACGCTAAGGTTCAAAATATGCCTTTTGAAATACCCTGGGATGTGTTCTTTAAGAAATGGTATGCCTTTATGGTGTAGTTGTAATATGTAGCCTGCTCAAGTGCTCCAAAGTGGGTCACGGACGCATCAAAACCCTCCATAAAAATTCACACTTAAAAACCTGAACTTGTCACGTCTCTTTTACAGCACTGTAACTTCAAAAAAGTGTCTAGGTCATACATTGGGCATATTGTTTTACTCAGAAGACTTAGCTGAGCATAATGTGGGGGGTTTGAACTTAGTGGCACATATGAAATATACAAAATGCCCAGCAAAAATGTAATCCGTATGTAAAAAATTCCCCAAATTATTTTTTAACACATACTTTGGCATGTATTGGTGAAAAAATGGGAGCATGTTAAGGCACAATATGCACCATATGAGATACCCTGTCTACTTTTACAAATGGTAGGCCTTTGTGGGTTTTTTTTTTTTGAACAGTCAAACTACTATAATACCCCAAATTGAAGCATAGGCCCATTTAATCCGTCTCTCAAAATTCTACTGTAAATACTGAAAAGGACAAGTCTCCTATATGGCACTGTAGCTTCACGAAATAGTGCCAAATACATACAATGGGATAATCGTTGTACTCAGCAGATGTAGCTGAACACAAAATAAAACTGTGTACAGGAATAGCACACATCAACTTTACAAAATACACATGAGAAGTTCTTTGTTATAAGTTTGTGTGCCAAAAAACAAAAAAATCCCACAATTTTACTCCAATATTTAGAAGAGATTGGCAGTGCAATGGCTACGTAGAAAGTGTCAAAACAACCTTAGGTAAATAGCCTGTGATGTCTACTTTATATAAATATATACTGTTGTGTGGCAATTTTGTTTTCTTTTATGGCTATTAAGCTTGCAAGACAAACATACCAAATTCTAAAATCGCTCCACATTAAATGTTTATTTTACTCCTTGTGCTTTGTGACCTGTAACTACCAAACAAAAATTAAAATCCCAGACACATTATATATTCTGTAAATCAGAACAACTAAATTAATTTATTTTTAATTACTTTAATTAACCTGCACTAATTATGCACACATTATTATTGCAAAAACTGTAAAAAAAAAAAACATTTCTTTTTTTTTTGCATTTTTCTATATTTTTTATAATAAATAAGCATTTATAAATATATATATATATATATATATGTTACATCAAATTAAAGTCCTTTAAAAAGCAGTATTTAATATGTGTCGGTGCAATAAACGAGAGAGATGCAAATTGCAGTTGAACGCAAACAGCAAGAAAATGCAAAAATTGCTTGTGTCATTAAGCGTAAGACAAGCTTCTGAAGCTGTGTCCTTAAGGGGTTAAACTATGCACTACAAAAATATGAGATAAGACAGCACCATGTGTTTACTTTAGATATTTTTATCTCCTGCTCCATAATTTGACCTTCTCACACAGGAGGATCCTGCAGAGTCTTGGAGACTATTAATAGAGCAGTACATTAGTAGAGCAGAAATTCTAAATGAAACAAACTGTGCAAAAGAGGAACTTTAAAGAGAAGTTCTTTCTTTGCATGAGATGTGACTATGGCTGCATAAACAACATGCAAGAGTATGCTCTATACACCAAAACTGCTTTATTAAGCTTACGTTGTTTTGGTGACTATAGTGTTCTTTCAAGCACGCACATGTTTCCATGCTCTTTCATACTGTAAAGGTTATACTGATGGAGGCAGCAGGGAACTATGATGGCAGGTTCAGCAGCCTCCATCTGTAAAACCTATATATGTTGCATGCTCAATTTCACGAGGATCATTCCCACTGAGGTCTGTGAGCTTTATACATAAAAATGTCCTTTTTTTTGTACTTGCCACATCTGGCCAAAGGTAGCCAGTCTTCCTCCTCTGTGTATAATGGTGTCCGGGGAGAGAATTTACTACCATCCTGACTTCTTTGCCATCACCCCCTGGTACTCTGCACTCAAACCTTTTTACGAATATGATTTAAGTGTTATAAATATAAGATACCACAAGCTGATGGGGTCTTGGTTTTATTTGCAGGGCTGAAGCTGGACTTACCTGCATTGTCCTTCAACCTGTTGATGGGAACAGTAAAAAAACTCGTATGACCTGGCTTCTAAGCATAGATCTCAAGGTAAGTTCATAATGTCACAATCCATGGCTGAATTTTAACACCAATACTACTTTCAGAATGTTTAACTATTTTTGAGTAAGCAGAGAAATGTGCTTATGTCTCTTACCATAATATTTTGTAAAACTTAATTGTGGCATTTCTGGCCCTAAAGTACAGCCCTGACCCTGTAATTTACCAGCTAGTGAGCACAGTGAGTCTTCCCACTGGCAATTCAGCTGAAAATGATACGGTCCTGTCGTCTCTGCTACCAAAGGCATAACAGTTCGGACCTTGTATCGCCAGCACAAACTTCTATCCTGAGCGCCAGGACTCTGGTTCTTGAGTCGCTAATCCCTCGGCAAAGCAGGATACTCTGCAGAGTTGCTCCGGGTATTACAGGATATTCTATCTAGCTAAAAACCACTAGCAATTCTGTGAGTGACCGCACTATAGCAGACAAGAAAGGAAGAGATAAGCAAGCTTCTTCTTGATATGAAAGCTAACTCCAATGAACTCCTTTATTGGATGAGCACACAGATTTTTCTACATTTACAGGCATGGCTCACTTGCTTGCATTATACAGGGAGGAGTATGCAGGTACAGTAATTACAGTAGGGAAATGATCAGAACCATGACTCAGTCCCACCTTCCACTGTGCTGGCTAAACATCTTACTGGCTCGCTAGGTACATTTCCAAATCCCATCAGACAGCCTGGTATGTAGCTGAGGCCAGACGAGGCAAAGAGTAACTGAACATATTACACCAGCACTATTTACAGTAACTAGCATAGCTGTTCCATTTCCCTCTGATAATCTACAATGTAACACTCTCTTTAGATCATCATACGTCTGCCCTGCTTCTGCAAGCCAGGAAACTGGCATTATGAACTACATACACTCTACCCGCGCTCTTTGCATCACTAGCGACGGTAGCAAAATGGCACTGCGTGTACTTGAATGGCAAAATGAAAAAGAGCCAGTAGGCCATTCGTCGCACTAATGCTTTTAATTAGCAGCTATTATATAAATAAAACAATCTCCTCTATACAAGTTTGCTATGAAAATATTTTTTTGTCTGAGATACTAGACTTTGACTAAAGGCACATACAGTACCAAGAGACACTATTGCCATTTGCGTCTTGGTGCTAGAAGCCAAGTCTGATTTTCAGTAATCATCTCTGCACATAATCTCAGGGTATATTCTGGGTTAGTGTTATACGCGGTAACGTTTAGTTAGGAAGTATAAATTACTTAGTAATATTATGAAAACACAAAAAAAGTTCTCAATTTCTGTTTTCTAAGTGAATGTTCTTGCATTTTTGTTTGTCACAGGGCTGGATCCCCAAACGTGTAACGGACAACGCATTATCCCGGTCTCAAGCTGATTTTATTGAACACCTACGGAAGCATCTATCTTTTAATGCTGACGCTGTCTAACTCTATAAAATGCTGATGCTAAATTATTTTATTAATTTTAAATGTTGATAAAGTTGTTAAATGTTAAAAATGAACGCAAGGCTGAAAATTCCCGTGCAGTAGTAAATTTTTTCTATTTACAGTTATAGCCACAAAGTTTCGTTTTTTTCAGGTGTTATCGTTTCATCTTTGCTGAAATGCAAGGATCTCATAATTCACCATGCTGTTGACGTTTCTAAGAAGAGAAGTAATAAAAAGAAGCCTTTTTGTGAAATATAGGCCATTTTCATAGAATCTAAATAGTTCTCATACAAGCTCAAAGATGCAACTCAACAAAGAAGACACTATCCTAGAATTTAGTGTAAATGTCTCATGATAGTCTGTGGATGAAACCTACCAGTGCATCAATTAGATTTTTCATGCCGTGAACAACATTTCTGTCTGTGAACAAAAAATTTCGAACAAATCTATAGTATATGGTCCATAAAACGAGGTAGAAAAAAAGTTAGGAAGGAAGCTTAAATGTGAAAAAAGGAAGTAAGGTGTGTGAAGAAAAACACTAAGGAACAGAAAACGAGGGAAGCAAGAACAGATATAAATTATGAAAATTGGACACAGATTTATGGGTTTTCCGAATATAACCTTCACCTTTCATTTTTAGCATGTCTTTGATATGTACATAGGTTATACTGAAGAACAATAAACACATTAGTTGTTCGATTCATATATGGACCAACAGCCTCTTTCTTATGTGATGTTTCCGTCTTTGTGTGTCCTCCCGCTTTCTGAAACTCAATTTCTCTAAAACTGAGCTCCTTGTCTTTCCTCCTTCTAATACTGATCCTCCTCTTTCGCTCTCCCTTCAAGTTAGTGGTATCCACATAAATCCATCCTTGCAAGCGCGCTCTCTTGGCGTCATACTTGATTCTGGCCTCACCTTTAAGCCTTACATCCAGTATGTTGCCAAATCCTGTAGATTCCATCTTAAAAACATAGCCCGCATCTGCCCCTTTCTTACGCAGGATGCTACCAAAGAGCTTGTCCATGCTCCAGTAATTTCCTGCATGGATTATTGTAACCCTCTCCTAATTGGTCTTCTCAAAAGCCGTATTGCCCCTGCTACAGTCTGTAATGAACGCTGCCACCAGACTGATTTTCCTCTCTAGTCAGTCCTCTCACACCTCACCCCTCTGCCAGTCCTTACATTGGCTTCCTGTATCCTATAGGAGTCAATTCAGTGTTAACCCATACCTATAAAGCATTGCACAATTCTAGCCCCTCATATCTCTTCACAGATCAATAGATCCACGGGCTTCTCCTGTCTGCTGCTCGCACCCATACGGCCAACTCACGCTTGCAGGACTTCTTGCAGGTAGCTCCCTTCCCTAGCCTGCCTACCACCATCAGACTCTCCCCTAGTCTTCAATCATTTAAAAAGTGCCTTAGGAAAGCTTATGGCCTCCCAGAGTAACCTCTACCTTACATACCTGTCTCTTGCTCTCTCCTAAAGGGCAGCACTCTCTCCTCCAGCTCTGCTTCACTCCCACCTTATTTGATTGCTGTTTCCTGTCCTAATGTGTTTTATACCCCACTTCCTATAGACTGTAAGCTCATTTGAGCAGGGTCCTCTTCAACCTATTGTTCCTGTAAGTTTTCTTGTAATTGTTCTATTTATAGTTAAATCCACCCTTTTATAATATTGTAAAGCGCTACGGAATCTATTGGCGCTATGTAAATGGCAATAATAATTTATCAAAGTGTTTTGTTTTGAAACGTAGTGCAAACATATCCATCATTCCTCCAATCCATAACTGCTTTATAGGACTGTTCCAGTATAGACCCTATGTACACTTCACACACACACACACACACACACACAGACTGCCCCTTCACACACACAGACTGCCCACCTCACACACATAGACTGCCCACCTTACACACAGACAGCCCCCTCACACACACACACAGACTGCCCTCCTCACATACACTCCACCCCTCACACGCACCTCAACCCTCACACACCCACTGCACCCTTCAACACACTATACCCTTCACACACAAACACAGCACCTCACACACATAAAAAAAAGTAGAACAGAAAATAGGAAAAACAATAGATTAATTTAAGTACATATTTAAAAAAAAAAAATTAGTTATTGCGGCACTGGTGGGCGGTAAGAAAATGTTACCATCAACAAAGATACAAAAGTAGGCAGCAGGTATTAAAAAGTTGACTACCCCTGATCTAAATTTGGTTTGCACTCTTTCTCCGTATTGGCCCCCGGGTAGTTTGGGCACGAAGTTTGAATCTACCGGCCGAAACCAAGTGATTCTGTAAGCTTGTTTGAACAGGACTCTCTTCAACCTAGTGTTCCTGTTTCTGTAATTGTCTCATTTATTAAATCTCCCCCTTTGATAATATTGTAAAGCGCTATGGACTATGCTGGCGCTAAATAGATACCAGTAATAATAATTGTTTTAGGGTATGTACCGAGCCTCAAGCCCAGACTTTACACAATGATTTCTCAGGCTCTGTACATCCGATAGCTTCGCTATTTGCAGGAATCCTAGCTGGGACCAAGAGCTATTTGGGAATGTATTATGTGTGGGATTACGTTATGTCTTTAGTATGTTTTTGGATAGCTTTATGCGTTATGTTCCGTATTCTCAGCCGGGTTGGGGGAGTGTTCCAGGGCGGGTTTGACTGTGTCCAGATTATGTATAAATTGGCTATACCATGTCCCAATAAAGATATTCCTGTTGTGCCCAGGGGCGGACTGACCACTCGGGCATATCGGTCATGGACCGAGGGCCCGAGGCAGTCAGGGGCCCGGCCGCACAGCCATGCTCCAGCTGGAGAGATCAGAGATCTCTCCAACTGGAACGGCAAAAAAAATAAAAAAAAATAATTTCCTTCAATGGGTTGCTAGGGCCCCTGATGCAGCGCGGGGCCCCAGCAACCACCACCCCCCCTCCCTTCCATGAGACCTGGCAGCTTCTCCAGCTCTCTGCCAGGTCTCCTTCTCCTTCTCCCGCGCGGTGCTCTGTGTGATAGGAGAGGCGGGGCCAGGAAGTGACATCACTTCCTGTACTCTCCTCTCACACACAGAGCTCGATGAGGGGAAGGAGCAGCAGCCAGGGAGAGCAGAAGAGGAAGCAGATAGACAGGTAGGCTTTAGTCACCCTCCCCTCCCCCCCTGTCACTAATCACCCCCCCCCTCATTGTCACTAGTCACCCCCACTGTCACGCTAATCACCTTCCCCCCACTGCTCCTCTACTGTCACTTTCAATCACCTTCCCCACTGTCACTTTCAATCACTCCTCCCCCCACTGTCACTCTGTCACTAATCACCTTCCCAATGTCACTTCAATCACCTCTCTGTCACTAATCAATACCTCTGTCACTTCTACTGTCACTGACTTCACTGTCAATAATCACTTTCCTCTCTCACTGTCACTGTTACTAATCATTTCCTTCTCATTGTCATCAATCACTTCACTGTCACTATTAATATTTCTTTACTGCTTGCCATCATCTCACTAAAACACTAATTACTACTGTCATTTGGATCAATACCTCATCTCTACTACTGTCATTTCATCACTCCTCACTGTTACTAGTCACTTTCATTGTGTGTCATCTAGTCACCCACCTTATGAAGGGAGGGGATGACTAGTGATTGGAGGGAGGATGGGGCATTACAGCACAGAGGGAGGAGGGGGGTGACTGAGTGGAGGATGGGGTGACACAGTGACAGAGTGCGGGAGGGGGTGACTAGTGACAGAGTGCGGGAGTGGGTGACTAGTGACAGAGGGAGGGATGAGGTGACTAGTGATCATCACCCCCTCCCTCATTCTGTCACTAGTCACACCCTCCCCTGTCACTAGTCACCCATCCCTCACTCTGTCACTAGTCACCCTCTCCCTCACTCTGTCACTAGAGTGAGGGAATTGGTGAGTGAGGGAAGGGGTGACTAGCAGAGTGAGGGAAGGAAGATAAGACTAAGACAAAGGAGGGGATGACTGTGACCGAAAGTGAGGGAGGGGGTGACTATACTGAGAGCAGTGACTTGAGGGGGTGACTAGTGACAGAAGGAGGGAGGGAGTAGCATAGAGGGAGTGAGACTAGTGATATCATCTCACTTCTGCCACTACTTTTTCCTTGTACTTGTCATTATCGCTCCCCTCACTCTAGTGACAGAGTGAGTGACTAGTGACAGAGTGAGGGAGGGAAGCAGACTAGCATAGAGTTAGGGAGGAAGGGGTGACTAGTGACAGAGGAAGGTGACTAGTGAGCAGAGGGAGGGGTGACTAGGACAGTGAAGTCACCTCTTCTACTACTGTCACCAGTCATCTCTAGTGACAGAGAGTGAGAGGGGTGACTAGTGACAGAGAGAGGGAGGGGGTGACTAGTGACAGTGAGGAAGGGTGTGACTAGTGACAGTGAGGAAGGGTGTGACTAGTGACAGAGTGAGGGAGGGTGTGACTAGTGACAGAGAGAGGGAGGGGTGACTAGTGACAGAGTGAGGGAGACTAGTGACAGTCACCACCTCCTTCACTCTGTCACTAGTCACCCCCTCCCTCACTCTGTCACTGTGTCACCCCCTTCCTCACTCTGTCACTAGTCACCCACTCTCTTCCTCACTCTGTCACTAGTCACCCCCTCTCTCACTCTGTCACCAGTCATTCCTTCACTATGTCACCAGTCATCCCTTCCTTCCCTCACTCTGCCACTAGTCATCCCTTCCCTCACTCTGTCACCAGTCATCCCCTCACTCTGTCACCAGTCACCCCCTCCTCACCTGTCACCCTCCTTTCCTCTTTCCTCATTCTGCCACACTAGTCACCTTCCTCACTTGTCACCCCTCGCTACCTAGTGACATGAGGAGGTGGTGCACTAGTGACAGAGTGAGGAGTGGGTGTGACTAGTGACAGAGAGAGGAGGTACTAGTGACAGAGTGAGGGAGGTTGTGATTAGTGACAGAGGGAGGGATGGGGTGACTAGTGACAGTCACCACCTCCTTCACTCTGTCACTTGTCACCCCCTCCCTCACTCTGTCATTGTGTCACCCCCTCCCTCACTCTGTCACTAGTCACCCCCTCCCTCACTCTGTCACTAGTCACCCCCTTCCTTACTGTCACTAGTCATCCCCTTCCTTACTGTCACTAGTTACCCCCTCCCTCTCTCTGTCACTAGTCCCACCCTCCCTCACTCTGTCACTAAAGTGAGGGGGTGACTAGTGACAGAGTGAGAGCGTGACAGGTGACAGAGGGAGGGGATGACTGGTGACCGAGTGAGGGAGGGGGTGACTAGTGACAGAGTAAGGGACGGAGGGGGTGACTAGTGACAGAGGGAGGTGGTGACTAGTGACAGAGTGAGGCAGGTGGTGACTAGTGACAGTCACCACCTCCCTCACTCTGTCACTAGTCACCCCTTCCTTCCCTCACTCTGCCACTAGTCACCCCCTCACTCTAGTGACAGAGTGAGGGAGGGTGTGTCTAGTGACAGATTGAGGGAGGGGTTGACTAGTGACAGAGTTAGGGAGGGAAGGGGTGACTAGTGACAGTGAGGAAGGGGGTGACTAGGGACAGAGTGAGGGAGGTGGTGACTAGTGACAGTCACCACCTCCCTCACTCTGTCACTGTGTCACCCCCTCCCT